TCTCAGAACCGTCACTGCCAGTCTCTCACTGGGCTGCAACTTGTGGAGAACGTTCCTAAAGGAATCTCTAAAATGTCTCCAAATGTTCTCAGTGGGTTTTCACATCTGTTCTGTGAGACTCAGAAGCACACAGTCCTGTCACTTGACCTTTAAACATGTTGGAAAAAAAGCTGTGCTACAAATCATCTCAGTTTAGCTGCAGTGTGGTTGCAGGTGTCTCAAACTAGTCTCAGTTTGGTTTCTCTTATTCTAGAACACTGCAGATGCATTTTAACACCTGCGTGACAGAAAACCTATAATAATACGACACCAAACACTCATCTGACAAGCTCACTGATGAGAAATAAGAAGAATTTTATTTTTCTAAAGTGTACACCCGTAGATTAAGTCATAAATGTGCACAGTAAATAAACAAGGTACAGGAACGTACATAAAACGGTATGAACAAGCACTGTACTTTGAACAAAGGTGCATATTTGTACATTTATATATAGTGCACATGTTTATGTTTGTCTTTATGCTGTTCAAAATACAAATATATACCTTTATATTCAGATACAGGACCAAACCAGGAGCATATGTGCTTTAAACCTTTAGGTGACAACAGTCTGACATTCATTTCAAAGACAGAACTTCATTTAGATTGTCATTAGGATTTATTTAAAGATAGTTTTATAAATAGAAGTTGTTCCTGATTTAGTGTTTTTCCTGCATGGAAGTCTAACAGAAACTACATTTGGTTGTTTAAAAGACTTTTACTTCTTCTTTATTTCTTGTCTGTGCACTAAAACAACCCTTGTGTCATTAAATGTAATCATTTTAATAACTAATGTAAATGAAACATGTTTGTGTTTGAGATTAATTTTGGATCTTGAAATGATTGGCAGACTATGACTCTGACTTTATGTTAAAGATTTAAAATTAGATTATGATGTTTTGTGCTGTCGCTGTATCTAAAGAGTTTCTGTCATCTCAAATAATGAATTCACTTCATCATATCTGAATAGAGGTTTTTCTTTAAAAAGTTAAACAGCAGATTGGGGTAATTTAAGGCCTGCAGAGGAACAGAAAGCAACAACATACATTTTAAAAGCTTTCAGTCAGGCTCATCTGTAAATTTGTTTTTGGCTAAGCTGCTGTGTGGAAGTGGACAACAAAAATAACGTGCACCATCTAGACTGCTGTTTTGCAACTTGGAGGTCATGAGGTCATGATTCTTGCTTATGGGAGAAGAGGTGGCGTGCACCCTGACTGGTCCATCTCAGATTCCAATAAATTACAGTTTAAAATCAATCAAAGCGTAAAGTTTCAGTGTTGAAATCAGTAACAAACCTGCAGTGTTCACATCTTAAAATTAAAATAATTAAGCCTAATTACTCCCTCAACAAAATCTCCAACCTGAAAAGATTTTCGGGACCTTTTTATTTCAGTTCAATTCAGTTTATTTATATAGCTCCTTATCGCAACAGAAGTCGTCTCAGGGCACTGAACAGAAACATTCACATACATATAAAGTCAGTTAATAACGTTATTTATCCAAGGAGCCATGTTCAGAAAGAATAAATCCAAATTAATTTGTATGCATTTTTAACTGTTTATTTGATGAAATAAGGTCAGTTTGTTCTCCAGTAGTCTAAGGTTTTTAAAGAAACATCTGTAAACATCAGATATATTTTTCCACTTTAAATTTGAAACCTAAATGTTAAGTCTAATCAACTTGTTTAAATGTCTACAACAGTGCTGAACGTTTGAAATTAAAGTATAACGCTGCTACCTGTATCTTACCTGTTTTGATAAAGTTACTTGAACCATGGGTAAAGAAAAACAATGACAGAACAAAACTACAAACCATGGTGCAAAAAATCCCCACTCAGCTCACAATTCACACAAAACTACACTCGACCATGAAACCACCCTAACGGATCTTAATGAACAACAACAAGACACCAATCAACGTCAGGATATTGTTCTGCGTCCGGCGCCTGTTCCTTCTCCATCCCCCGACTGGAAGCACCATCAGCACTCTGCAAAGTCACAATCTCGCTCACGTCCCAAACGGTGAGTGTGACCCCGTGAAGATTATCTGTTGCGATGTTTACTCATCTCTAACCATACAGTATGCTTTGAGCTTTATCCAGACTGTTCTAACATTGCTTTTCTTGTTGGAGAGCTGAGAGGTAGCGTCACGATCCGTGGTTTTGTTTTATTTCAGTAGTTTTCTGCTGTTTTTCTGTGCTTCTGGTCAAATTCTTGGTTTTGTTGGTGTCATTGTTAGACAGATTCTTTGCTGGTTGTTGATCTGAACAGAATGTAAAGGATTCTTCAGGAGAAGCAGGATGAAGTGATGGAGTGGTCCTTCGAGCTTCAGTCTGGTCTTCAGAAGCCTTAATAAATCCTCCTGGGATCTGTTCTCTGATTGCTGGGAGCCCCGTTTGTTCCTGTAGACCTCATCATGATGATCTGCTCCCAGCTCGTAGATAAAGCCCAGATAATACTGAAGGCAAACAGAACACAGAAAGGACCAGACTGAAAGGGACAGAAGAGCTGCTGATGAGATGTAGGCTGCAGAAAGGGGGTGAGGTGGGTTCTGAAGGAGGGCTCTGAGGACCAAAGGCAGGATCAGGAGGTCCAGATTATGATGGAAACTAAACAAAGTAAACCAAAACAAAAACTACATGCTGATCTTTCACCCCCATGCCTGCCAGTATCTGAACAAAGCAACTGCTCTCATTTTATAAGAAACATTATCGTCCAAGAAATGTAACTCTGGGCTTTCATGTGACTCAGGGTTCTGTTCAGGCAGAGGGGTTCCAGTCAGAAAATGTGGTCCAATCAGACAGAAGTGGTTTGAGTCAGAATCAGGTAGAGTAGATCCAGTAAGACAAAAGTGATCTGGGTCAGAAACAGGGGGACTGTTCAGACAGAAGTGGTTTAGGTCAGATGGAGGTGGTCTGATCCAAAAGAAGGAGTCCAGGGAGACAGAAGTGATCTGGATCAAATAGGGCGGTCTAGTACGACAGAGTTGATCCGATCGGATGGAGAATGACCTGGGTCACTATTGTGGGTCCAGTCATACAGTCAAGTCAACTTTATTTGTAAAGCAGCTGTTACCAAAGTGTTTAACAGTAAAAACAATGGGAGTAATTTCATGAAAAAAGTAACAATAAAAACATTGATAGAACCGAAAATTAATTACAAGCATCAAAAGAAAAACATAGATACGCAGAGTAATAAAATACTAAATAGAGTCACACTGTGTAAAATGCCAGGGAGAACAGATTTTAGCAGAGATTTAAAAACAGGAAGTGAAGTGGCCTGCTTGATGTTGGGGGGGGGGGGGGGGGGGGCAGATTGTTCCAAAGCAATAATGCTGGTGAAGCTTCTCAGTCATCCAGGACATGGTAAATTCAAAAAAGTTCAAGACAAAAACAACTGGACGTCCAGTTGTTTTTGTCTTTAACTTTTTTAAATGGACCAAGAACTGTTAGATTTTAGGGGCAGATAAATCTGACAATCATCAGCATAACAATGAAATGAAAGACCATGTTTCCTCAGGATAGACCCCAAAGGGAGAAGATAGAGTGAAAACAAAAGGGGTCCAAGAATCGAGTCCTGTGGGACTCCACAGGAAGGAGGCACTGACGCAGATACACTATTTCCAACCTTAATACAGAAGCTCCTGTCACTTGGGTAAGAACGGAACCATTCTAATGCTGCACTTGTGATCCCAACCCAGTGTTCAGAAGTAGTCCAGTCTGGTAGAGGGGGTCCAGTCAGACAGATGTTGTCCAATCTGATAGTGGGGGTCCAGTCGTACAGAAGTGGTTTGATTTGATAGAAGGGGTCTGTTCAGACAGAGGTGGTCTGATCAGATGGTCCTGCGTGCAGATGTCCTGACACCACAGAATCCAGTGTTTCCACCTCATCCAGCTGTGCGTTTGAGCCGAAACACCTCGGGGCATTTTGTCACTTAACAGAGGAACATTTGGCCCGATCAGTTTTCCTGAAACCCCCCCGACCAGACCCAGTTCCCTGAAGTGTGCTCTTCAAAGGCCGGATGAGCAGATCAGGGGTCAGGACCGGATCAGGACTAACTGATTTAGGAGTGTTGAGGCTTCCCTCTGAAATCCATCCTCTTTGTTTGGTTTCTGCTCCTTTTGGAAGCTTTTCACATTTAATTCGTTTTTCTCTGCTTCACTGAGCTACGGAGGCCTGCACAGGACAAAAATTGGTTCTCATCTCTTTTTTTTTATTATTATCCTCAAACAAAGGTGCAAAGGTGACAGGGGAACAGAAACCCCAGAACTGGACTTTATTTCTGACAGACTGGCGTTGGTTCTGACGTTTCAGAATCCCCTGAATGTAGTTTTTTGAATATCAGAAGGATTATTTTGTGTTTTAGTATTTAGTTTAGTTCTTTTACTGTTTGACTCATCAACCTGTTGAGTTTGTGAGCCACTCTGCAGAGACACATGAGACCCTGCTGCCCCCTGCTGGTGTCTCAGAGAACCACAGGCTGAAGACTAACCTTGGATTTTCTGACACTCTGACCTTCCTCTGACTCGGACCATCTGGAACTTCAGAACCCCTGGGTTCTGGTTGTACGGCTGAATGATGTTTCTGTCCTTCCTCTCCTCGACTGCCCGTCTGACTCCAAGAGTTGAATAAAAATATAAATTTAAACGCAGCAGAAAACTCCTGCGTCTGGCAGTTTGAGTGGATGTATTATTTGACCTTTGACCTCTGCCCTTGTTCTTGTTTAGGTACATTTCTAAATAAAGTGGGACGCTGTCGGAATTACCTGCTTAAAATTTAAAGTTTTTATTTGTCCATGAGATGGAGACAAACTCAACAAATCATCAGCAGAACAGTGATTAGTAAAACAAACAAACAAACAGTCTGGCTGACAGTCTGGAGCGGCAGCTGTCAACAGACATAAACTCTTTCGCTGCAAAACAAAAATTTATTCCAAGTTTTTAGAAGATAAAAATAAAACAATAAACAATATAAATAAACTCCTGTGCCTGTTTTTTTTTTTTTTATGTCACGTGATCCGGTTTCACTCCTTAAAAATCCCTCTGACGTCACGTCTGGGAACCTTCCCTGCCAAGCGGAAGTTGTGTGTTTGTGGAGAGTTGAGCTGAGAGGAGGACAGAAACCGAATCGAACCGGCCCAGCAGGAGAAGAAGAAAACAAGTAAACAACAGCAGTGAGGAGAAGCACGCGCAGCTACGGACTGTTTGTTTGTGCTCTTATTTTTATTTATTTTTTGTTTGTTTTCAGCTGCCAATCAAACAAGACCGAGCGCTCCAGGTGCATTCAGGCTCCGCCTCCTCAGGTAACCCAACAAGACAGAACTTTACAGAACCAAAGAACTTCTGCCTAATACTTGAGGTTAAAGGTCAGAGGTGACATGTGACTAGTTTTTGAATGTCTGATTCTGTGACCCGCCCAGAACTTAGTCAGGTTTATAATATTAAAGAAATTATGTTTATGTTTAAAATCAGCCTTTTAATGTCGAAACGGCTGAAATGTTTCCTGCTCATTTAAAAAAAAAAAAAAAAAAGTTTTCACCAGCAGAGGAATAAAGAAACATGAGGATAAATTAATTAAACTTTTATTATACAAAATGTTTTACAAACAAATTCCACCGACTCACTGAAAACATTAAATGGACAAGAATTAACATAAATTTTGTGTCATCCAGCTGAAATAAATTCTGCTGGTTATGAAAGAACTGAAGAAACTAAAAAAATGTTAATGATTAAAAAGTTAACACTACAGAATTAATAAAATTATGTTAAAATGTTTATTTTAAATAATATTAAAACACGAGCTGCAATTATAAGAAGGAAATATTGTTAATAATTAGAAGCATCAGTTAGAAAATAAAAAATGTTAAAAAAAATAATAATAATTTCAGAGCCTCGTGTTCCACAAAAATAATCTTCAGTAAAACATAATCTGAAAATATGAGGGATGTGGGCGGAGCTTCCTGTCAAGGAGGTCCTGCGGTTCTGGTTCCTGAACTGAGAGGTTCAGGTCTAAGCAGAGCAGGATCAGATGAAACCGGACCACCATGTTCTGTTTTTTAGGCCAGTTTTACAAAGGTAAAGCGGACAAAACGACTGTTCTGTAAGTTTCAGGTGATTTCTTAAAAAAAAAAAAAAAATTGCCTCAGAGTCGGGGCCAAACGAAGGTCCGAACATCTGGTGGTTTCTATCTGAACCGGGTCTTTCTCTCCGTCTTCCTGCTTTTCTTGCTTCAGCAGGATGGATGGAAGCGCCGCGGCAGGAAATCTCAGCGCTGCCTCGTCTGGACCACTTCCTGCCCCCGCTGATGGAGAGACGCTGCTCGGGGTCTCAGAGAAGCCGGAGGAGAACCAGGACCAGGGTTCAAAGAACCAGGACCAGGGTTCAAAGAAGCCAGAGGAGAGCCAGCGCGACAGAGAGTCCAGGTCCCAGAACAACCAGAGTCCAGCAGAAACACCAGTTCTCCCAACAGAAAAACTGAAACCTGAAGGTTCTTCAAAAGATGAGCCAAATCCAGATCAGCCAGAACCAAAAAATACCAGTACAGTTACACTAGAACGAAGAAAGCCTGCTCCAGATTCTGGACAGCCAGAACTGACAGAAAAACCTCCTTCTCAAAAATTGGACCCAACAAAACCAGGCACTCTTTGTTCTGATCATAGGAATAAGGGAGATCCTGCAGAGTCTGAACAAGAACCAGGTCCTCTTCAGAACCAACAAAACCACATAGACCAGGAAGTTGAAAAACCTCATTCTTCTGCGGATCTAACTGGAGGGGCGAAGGAGTCCAAAACTATTCAGAACCTCCATGATCCAGCTCCTCTCCTCCAACAGACTCCTCCTCCTCCTCCTTCTGCAGACCAACAGTCTCCGCCCCTTAACATTGTGGAGTACAGTGAACAGGTGTGGCCACGCCCCCCTGTGCCTTCTTCAGGTGAACCCAAACTGTGTGGTTACCTGCTGAAGCAGGCAGGGCCTCTGAGGAACTGGAAGCAGCGCTGGTTCACCTACGAGGAGAAGAAAAACCAGCTGTTTTATTACCGCACGCCGCAGGATGTGACGCCGCTGGGCCGGGTCAACCTGAGCGGCGCCACCTTCACCTACCCGCTAAAGGCAGAGAAGGGCACTTTTCACATTAGGACACCAGAACGCACCTTCATCCTCAAGGTAAGAACAGGAAGTGAAATCTGATCTACCAGCATGGTGGCTGGAATAACTCATGATGCTTCCCTCCGAGCGCCTGGCAGGAGGAAGGTCAGAACCAGTACCGAGCTGTAGAAATCACACTGACTCGTGAAGTCAGGGTTCTAATCCCACCTTGACGGGTTTTTGATTGAGCTCTGATTGGTTACAGAATTGTTAAAAGGCTCGTTAAGAGTCAGAATAAAGTCTGTTTTAATTAAATGAAAGTGAAATAAAAATTTAATGTCAGTTTCTAAACAGACGTCAGTGAAACTCAGTCTTTTTAAACTGATTCTGTAAATACAGATTATTTACTGAACTCAGTAATTTTCCTCTTGTAACAACAACCTCTGGAAGAAAACATCAATATTTGTTTCCCCCCCCCCCCCCCCCCCTTCAGGCGGTGACCCAGGAGGTGATGCTCTATTGGCTGCAGCAGCTGCAGGTGAAACGCTGGCAGCATCGACAGACGTCCACCTGTACGGAACAAACAAACAACAACAACAACAACACATCAGGTGAGAAACAAACAAACATCATGTCAGGTGGGAAACAACTGACTAAAACAAACATTATTTGTCTGGTGTGATGAAGAGTTTAACTGGTCTGATTTTAGTTTAACTTGTCTGGTGGTAGTTTAACTAGTGTGGTATTTTTACTGGTCTGATGAAGAATTTAATTAGTCTGGTGGTAGTTTAACTGGTCTGGTGAATAATTTAACTGGTCTGATGGTAATTTAACTGGTCTAGTTTATGGTAGTTTACCTGGTCTGATGATGGTTTAATTAGTCTGATGAAGATTTTAACTGATTTGATGGTAGTTTAACCTGTTTGGTGAAAGTTTAGCTAGTCTTTTTCAGAGTTAGATTCACACTTTTAGATTTGTATTTGCTGGTTTCAGTCTGTATGTGTGAAATATTTGTTTGGATGTGTCCTCATTTTGGTCCATCTTGTTTTAGAAATGGGTGTGCCATGTACAGTAGTTTACACACACACACACACACACACGTGAGCTCCCATTGGGAGTTGGGAAATCCTTCAGGGCGGGAGCGGCTCTGACTCAACTGTTCTCAGAAAACAGATGTGTAATTGGTGAAAATGAGTTTGAGGATTTCTTGAGATTTTTGCTTTCTAACAGTCAGAGCTTTTTTACTGTCAGCTGACCTTCTCTAAAGGATCTACATCATCATAATCATCCTCACTTGTATTGAGTCTGATGAGCTTGGGCCACACAAATAAAACACGTCTCTTTTTGTGTGTGTGTGTGCATTTTCTCCAAAAAAAAAAAAAAAATCATAGAATTTATGAACTAGAGTGATGTAGACTCATAGGTTTGTAGTTTTTATCTGATTAACTGTGGAGTGGTTCCTGTAGATGTTCTCCAGCACTCCTCTCGCTCCTGTCAGGCGTTCCTCCTGTTTGCAGTGAGACAGAACAATATCTTATGATCTCTGATGGTCTGTGTCGTTTCCATGGTGGCAACAGTAAACAAACTTTGATCTGTGTAATGATGGGCTTGGCAAAAGGATGTAATCTGTTCACTTTCAGGAGATAAGAATCACTTCCTGTTAGTGGAGAAACTTCATGGAGCATTAACAGCACTTTTGCTTTGGAGTGTTTCAGATTTTCATAACATCTGTGCTGAAGTGGTCTATAATGTTTGGTGTGTGTGTGTGCGGGGGGGGGGGGTAGGTGGGTCAGTGACATCATAATGAGGACAGGATGTGACATCTGATTGGCTGCAGGCGGCTCAATGTCAGGAAATACCAATAGACTTAAAATAAACCAGCAAATGTTTTGATTCATCTTCCAGGAGGACGAAACTGATCCCAGATCAGAGTTTGTTCAGTTTTCAGGGCAGACGTTGGCTGTTTCATGTCTGTTTCCTTGTTGTTCCCTCTCTGGTTTTTTGTTGCGGAGCTGCAGCGGGATCAGCTCCTGTTATTCTGTTCAAGCCTTGACTTGTTGCTCTGCTTCGTGTCTGAGCAGCAGCCTCCTCTGATTTTGGACAGAGCTCCATTCGGACTGAGTGAAACTAAAAACTGAACGCGTCCCCTGCAGGCTGCACGACACATTACAAGAGACGAGAAACCATCTAAAAAGATAATGGCAGCAAGAGACAGAAATCCTGCTGGAGGTCTGTTTGAAGAGATGAAGTGATGGAGATTAGTTACTGATTGGTTGGTGTTCGGTTTGTTTCCTGTCTGCTCAGACGACTTCCTGCCGGTTTTAAAAAGTCCTCTGGGCCTTGTGGGGGAGGAGGCAGCCAACACAACAACACAACGACCATCACTTTCCAACATGTCCATCAAACACCCACTTATTGAGTTCCAGTGAGTCCCCAAGATCCATTGTGTGTTTGACTTGCTGACCTGGTGTTAGTGTTATTAGTGTTTTAATTTGTTGTGTGAACAGAAACTCGGTCCACATGCTGATGAAGAGGACCTCTCAGGAAATGGGTCAGAGCGTCTTTCATTCAGACGTGATGGCGTGGACATCTGACAGCCCTGCAAACAGCACCCCAACAGGTACTTCCTTGTTCTAACACTATACTAACACTGTATTATACTGTATTATTACTGTACTAACATTGCACAACACTGTGCCACACAACACAATACCACATTGTAATAAAACCGTAGTACTACACAATAATGCATCGTACTACATTGTACTGTACAACATTGTATCAACACTACCACACTGTATTAACACAATGTACATTACTGTATTGAAATTGTACCACACTATACTACACTGGTCAATGCTTTGCCGCACTGTTCATTACTGAAATACTTCAATGTCACACACTGTAGACTGTACTGACACTACACCACACAGTTTTGATATTACACTCCACTGTATCAATACTGTTTCTTACTGTATTAACATTGTACCACACTGTATTGACACTGTACCACAGTATACCACACTGGTTGACGCTGTGCCGCGCTGTGTACACACTGTACACTATTGTATTAAAACTGTTTCTTGCTGTATTGACACCATACCACACTGTAGTTAGATTGAACCACACTGGTCAACATTGTACCTCACTATATTAACACTGTTCTTTACTGTAGTAACACTATGCTACGCTGTATTAAAACGCTACCACACTGTACTGACATTGTACTGACACTGTTCTTACTGTATTAATTTGTACCACACTAACACACTGGCCAACACCGTGTTGCACTGTGTTAACACTGTGCACCTCTTTATTAACACTGTTCACTGTATTAACACCAGGCTACACTGTATTGACACTGTACCCCACAGTTTTGATACTGTACTCCACTGTATTAATCTGTTTTTAGCTGTTTTACCACTGTAGCTCACTTTATTTGGGGTATGGGGCCGAGATGGTGTAGGGGCAGGGCAGCCAACTCAGGACCCGAAGGTCCTGGGTTTGATTCCCGGTCATTGCACATCTCACGGTGTCTCTGAGCAAGACACCCAATCCCGAATTGCTCCCCAGCATACATAGCTGCCCACTGCTCCACCTGGGTGCATCACAGGTGCAATGGGTTAATGCAGAGAGCCAGTTTCGTCTTTGTATGGGAAAATACAACACATAGCACTTTACTTTATTATTTATTTACATTGAACCTTACTAGTCAACACTGTGCCACACTGTGTTAACAGTGTACCCCACTATATTAACACTTTTGTACAGTCCAACAATGTTCAGTCAGGTCATCTGGACAGTTTTTTTTTTTTTTTCCCCCCCCCCCGAGATGTTTTGACCTTCATCCAAAGGACTTCTTCAATCTGAGGAGATTCCACCAAACAAACTGATTCCCACAAACGGCATACTCCATAGTGGAAAAAAAACAAAACAGTTTGCTGGTGCTAAGATGGCCTCCGGGGCCCACCCTCTCCCCCGTCAACTCCTCTGAGACAATCATGCCAAAGTGGTTCAAAACACCAAAGAAGAAGTCCTTTGGATGAAGGACGAAACGTCTCAGCAAAAAAAACAAAAAAAAAAAAAAAAAGGAACTGTCCAAATGACCTGACTGAACATTGTTGCATTTTTACCTAGATTATTGAGCATGAACTTTGAACTTTAGTACTGTATATTAACACTATGCGCTGTATTAAGTCTATCATACTGTATTGACATTGTTTAAACACCATACCACCCTTTAATAATGTTGTGCCACTCTTTATTTAAATTATACTACATACTGTTGACACTACTGCACTATACCACACGGGCCAGCGTTGTGTCGCAATATGGTAACACTGTACCACACTATATTAACATAGTTTCTTAAACTGTACCACACTGCATTAGGACTGTATTACTCTGTTCTATCACTGCACTATAGGGTTTTTCAAACCTGTTTGATGAGAGGAACCCATATGTTTGTGGTTCTTCTCGGCTCAGAAGCAAAATGTCTTTAAGAATCACAAGAAGTCCAGTTGCCGTGAGTTCAGTTTATTGTTCGGTTTAGTTAGGGCTCTGTTTTAGGCTTTTTAGACACGTATTCTACTGCAGATTTGATTACAGTGCTAACAATCAAAACCAAGATTACAGCACTGAGGCAGCTGACTTATTAGTACTCCTGGCAATTCACTAATCAGATTAGGAATGATCTCTTCTTTGTTTTCTTTCAAAAAGTCGACTTTAGTAGAACTTTTTTTTACCCTGATCCTTTCATATATATAATTTATTTATAATTTTCCCACGGATTTTTGTTTCATTCATGCCTCATTTTGATTCTGTTTTGCTTGCACAAAAAAAATCTGTAACCAAAAGAACTAATAAAAATTAAGTTTTGTTTTAAATCCCAGTCATTCAATTTGCGATTCAGGTCCAAATCCAGTCCTGATCCAGGACATATTAGTCTCTTGACTGTGGACAAATTTGTCTGAGATCCCTGTTGAATATCTCCTGCATGAGACCTCACCTGAATGTGGATCTGTTGACTTGGACCTTCAGTGTTTGGTTTTCATTTGATCATGTCACTCCTTCCTATCAGTGTCCTCCTCAGGAACGCCCACCGAGGACCCGCCCCCTCCTGTCCAGTTGGTTGATCTAGCAGGCGAGGCGTCTCTGGATGAGACCAGGGAGCCGCTGTCACCTCTGGACAGTCAGAGTAAGAAGATAAAGTCTCGTAGCACGTCCACCATGCCAGTTCGCCGCAGAGTCTCTGTGACCTTGTCCTCAGAGAGGACGTCCCGCATGCTGCAGGAGAAACAGATGCTGATGGAAGAGGTCAAAGCTCAGAAGGTAACTAATCAGCTCCATATGTGATTGGGTTTTACATACAACACCCAGAACATGATGATGACCGTGATCATGTCCTGCAGGAGCTGGTGTGGATCCTTCACAAAGCTCTGGAGGCAGCCCAGCTGGAGAAAAGAACCTGTGCAGAGTTTCTGGCAGCAGAGGATGAGCAGGAGCGCCTGGAGGTGCTGCGGCACCGTGAGCGCCAGGCGGCTGACCTGCGAGGCCGGCTGGAGGAGGCCAAGATGGAGGCGGAGACGCTGAGGAAGAGTCTGTCGGAGAGGGACGCCCAGCTGCTGGAGCTCCAGGAGAACATCAAGTCGCTGACGGAGAAGAACAAGGCCAAGCAGCAGGTGCAGGGACACAACAAACTGTTGTTCAGGTTTTTATCAAATCAAAGTGTTTGTTCTTGGGCTAGAAGTTTTGATGGATTCAAACAGATGTTTTGGAACATCTGCAGGACTCGTCTCACCTTTCATCCTGCTTGTTTGGTTCTGACTGGTTTCTTTCTGTCTTGCTTCAAATAGAACGGTTTAGATACCAACTGGCCGTTCTACTCACTGCACTTCCTGTTTCCTGTCAGGTGATCATGAAGCTGTCGGATCAGGTGACTTCCTGTCTGTCCGACTCCTGGCACTCTGACCCATCCTCCGGTCGTGTTCAGGACTCTCAGGCCTTTAAGCAGCTCCAGCAGCTTGTGGAGAACCTGAAGGTGAAATACTTCTGTAGTACTCTGCAGTAATCCTGTAGTATTCCAAAGTGCAGTGATGAGACGGGATGCTCCTCTTCTGCTGAAGAGACTTTTAAGAAAAGTGTTTTGGTGTTCTGGTCCAGTATTCAGAGTGAAACTGCAGAGTATATTCCATTTGTTTCCACTCTGATCAGGTCCAAGTTCTGATTGTGTTCGTTTCTGGTCTTCAGGACGACATCGAGGCCTATAAGACCCAGAACAAGTTTCTGAACTCGGAGATCTATCAGCTGACCCATCTGTGGAGGAAGAGCTCAGAGCAGGAGAAGAGTCTGATGATGAAGGTGGGTCCAGCTGGGGACACCAGAACCAAGGTCCAGTTCTATAATCGTTTCCTGTCCTCTGACTGGCCCACTCTTGTTTCCTGTCCTCTGATTGGCTGCAGTGTGCCTTCCTGGAGGCCACCAACTGTCAGGTGGAGAGTCGTTACCTGGGTGTTCTGCGGAAGCTGCAGGAGACCAAATCTCTGGATGCAGAGCAACAGAAGGCCGTGCAGAAGATGATTGAGGACGCTTTGAGAGGAGAGCTGAAGAGCAACTTCAAGCTCAGCTCGGACAGGTACGAACGCCTGAGCAGAGTTTGAGTCTGACACATTTTACACACAAAGAAAGGAAACATCTGGAGCACAGCTGTTTTTATTATGCATCAGAATAAGAAGAAGCAGTGATACTCTTTAAAACTAGATTTTTTTTTCTGTTTAATCATGTGACCCTCAGAATGATCTGGGTAAAATAAACCCTCTGTTGTGTCTTCAGGGTTTATGACGAGTACGGGTTCAAGGTCGTCCCAGACTACGAAGTGGAGGACATGAAGCTGCTGGCAAAGATCCAGGCTCTCGAGATCCGCTGCTTCAACCTGCTGCAGCAGGTCCGAACCCTGAGCTGGACCTGGTTCAGTTTGAGTTTCTACATTGTTTTGTTTAGGAAATCTTCCATGATTCATGGTAACAATGAATTATACCAAAATTGTATTTTTAATTTTCTTTATTCTTCACAGATTAGTTAAAAGGTAAAAGATGATCACATGAATGGACGTCATCGGTCCGTTTGGTTCATTTTCCTGTTCTCACAGCAGTTCTGTCTCTCTGCAGGAGGGAGTGGAGCGCCCCTTGCTGACCCGTTGGGCTGAGTACCTGGCCGGCAGGTCGGATGATAACCTGTGTCCCTCACCTGAACTCAAAGCTCTGCTGCGTGCCGGCGTACCACAGGAGTATCGTCCGAAGGTGTGGCGCTGGCTGGTCCGAACCAGAACCAGGACGATCTGGCAGCGCCACCCGCAGCGTTATGAGCAGGTACACTGAGACGACCTGGCCCACACCTGTCCAGGTAACCTGCTGGAGGTGTAACAGCTCCTGTGTTTGCAGCTGTGTGAGAAGAGCCGGACGTCCCCCCACCCAGCGTCCAGACAGATCCAGCTGGACCTCCATCGTACCCTGACCACCAATCAGAACTTCTCATCACCATCCAGCCCCGCCCTCCAGCAGCTTCAGCGCATCCTGTTGGCGTTCTCCTGGCAGAACCCTGCTATTGGCTACTGCCAGGGTCTCAACAGGTTCTCACCTGTTCTCTTACTGCTGTGGTTGTTTGATATGTTGGTCATGTGACACCGTCATGTGATGGCGTTGTCCTGTGTGTCTCAGGTTGGCAGCCATCGCGCTGCTCGTCCTGCAGGATGAAGAAGATGCATTTTGGTGTCTGGTGGCCGTGGTGGAAGCCATCATGCCTCAAGACTACTACACCAAGACCCTGGTGGCTTCTCAGGTGAGGAAAAGTACACCTGCTCACCTGAAGCTCTAGACTCATTGATTGGTTGGTGCCACTGATTGGTGGTGTGTGTGTGTTCAGGCAGACCAGTGGGTCCTGAAGGACTTCCTGTTAGAGAAACTTCCTCGCCTCGCGGCTCACTTCGAGTCTCACAGCATCGACGTGTCGCTCATCACCTTCAACTGGTTCATGGTGGTTTTTGTGGAGAGTCTGCCCAGTGACATCCTGTTGCCTCTGTGGGACGCCTTCCTGTACGAGGGCACTAAGGTACACTGAATGCATCACGCCACAAAGACCTGAACGCACCATGAGAAATCAATTAGAACTTTAATCTCTGATATTATCATGAATCTGGAGAGAAAATACATGAAGGTGTGGTTTGTCATGTTAAACCAGGAGCTGTGGTTCTGTTCTGATGAGGTTTTAATGTGTTTCTGTGCCACAGGTGATCTTCAGGTACACTTTGGCTCTGTTTAAATATAAAGAAGATGATCTTCTGAAAATCAACGACAATGTGGAGATCTACCAGTACCTCCGCTTCTTCACCAAGACCATCTCTGACAGCAGGTACCCCTCACTGCTCTGATCTGGTTCAATAGAAGTTTTATATAAAAATGGATGGGACTTTCAGGGACAGAGGCCACAGCTGTGTGTGTGCTGCAGTTACTGTCCTGGATTGACTCTTCACTAAAAGTTTGATCTAACTGTGATGAACTCCAGAGTTTTTGGAAAGATGGTTGTAGAACTTAAGTGGTTCTGATCTTTTGAGTCAGGGAGAGCAGAGATCAACAATCCGATAACAATTATTGTATTCCTGTTGTTTAACGGCAGGTTCTTTGTCAGTCTCAAGTTCAACTTTAAACAGTTTGTTTATCCACTCCCTGCAGCTCGATGACCACTTCCTGTTTGTGTTTGATCACGCAGGAAGTTAATCGGCATCGCCTTCAACGACATGAACCCGTTTCCTCGCCGCCTGCTGAGGAATCGCCGCGCACTGCACCTGGAGCGCTTGCAGAGGGAGCTCCGTGAGCTGGAGGAGCAGCAGAAGGAGTTTGTCACGGAGAGCGCCGAGCGTAAAGACAAGGAGCTGGACATGGCGGCAAGCGAAGACGATGATGAACTTTAACCCCGCAGAATGTTTCTGCTTTCCTGTCTGTGGACAGTTCTGATGGTCAGATCCGACTCTGAGTGAGTCGACAGAAAAGTCAAAATAAGCCGTTTGTCACCTGCAATCAGGTGGCTACATGCTAATGAGCTCGTTAGCGAGGTAACGAGTCCTGTCTCAGATTATCCGTTGTTTTTTCATTAAGACACACAAGATTAGGAAAACTTTTTATTTAAAAAAGAGAAAAACGCACAAAAAACTGCAAAATTCAAAAAACTTTAACACACACACAAAAAATACATCTGTTGATCCTTGATGACAGAATGCAAAATGAAAAAGCTTCACATGACAAACAGAATGAGTTTAAAAAAAAATAATAAAAAAAATGTTTGCCCTGTAAAATCCCAGGTCATTAAAAACAAAAAGCTTTAAACAACAGGAGACAAGAAGTTCAGTTATTTTTTGATTTTGCTGCATTTTACTTCGAGGTAACAAAGCCAGTTTTATGTTATCAAGCAAACATGTTTTGTTTGCTCAAACGTCACAATTAACTCACCTTGAAGCTTATCTCAAAATTTTAAAATGAAAATGAAATCTTTAACGTGAGTAAAACGTCAAGACATTAGAACAAATGACGAGGAAACGGGCCTTATTCTGAGACAAATAACTCGAGAAAATGAGCATCTCAAGATATCAAGATAAAGACTCTAAACTGAGCAGTTAGACATCGAGATGAAGACCTCCAGGTGTTTTAATCTGAACAGCACCACAAATTGGACCTGAAATACACTGAGAAAATATCCACAGAACTTCTACAGTCCAGTTCTGGTTGTACTTTTCCTGCAGCAGAGGAAGAAACAGGTTTCTGTTGGAGGAGATCCAAACTGCAGAACCCCACAGGAACCTCTGAGCCCACCCTGGACCCTTCAGAACCCCACAGGAACCTCTGAGCCCACCCTGGACCCTTCAGAACCCCACAGGAACCCTTCAGTTTCTGCAGGTCTGACCGAAGCCGACAAAGCTGTTTTACAGGAACACATTTTTCTTTGTATGCAGATTGTTCTACATCAGCCAGTGAGGCGATCCTTCGGCTCTGGTTCGGTTTTTGAAAATTTACATCACTAAATAAGATTCTGTGAATCTGTTTCTTCATTTCTTAAGATTATTGATTATCTGTTAGAATTTAAACTAATCTAATTCTGAAGAGAACCTTGTTCTGCATCAAAAACAAACATGAACTTCCTGAAACCTGCTGGATTAACGCTGTTTAAAAAAAAAAAAAAAGTTTTTCTTAAATAAAGTTGTGTTTTAAAGTAAAACTAAAAACTGTACAACACTAGTCTCGTAATGCCACTGAAACACTTTTGTTAGCATGTTATTATGAAATTGTACATAAATGTTCTGCAAGTCGAAGTCTTATTTTATTTTTATCGATAATTAAGAGTTTGAGCCTGGTTCGGTCACCAGCTGTTGCTCAGAACAAACATCCTAAAATGAGTTATTTACTTAAATATGAAAGCAATCAAAGGGAACAAGAAGTGATTCAAATGTTGCATTTTATTATTTTTCTTAAAAAACAAAGATACATAAGAAATAATGGATATAAAAACCAAAGCAGGAGTTCTTTGTTACAAACGACGTGTTACTGCAGAAAAAAGCTAAACACTAAAACAGTTAAACTCCTAAAGTCCCAACATGTTTCTGTAGAAGATCACATGGTGAGGATGATGATGGTGATGAAGATGGGGGCGTGGATCAGTCCGTAGTCCTGTCAGTCTAACAGCACATTCATAAAACGCTGCGGAGCATCCACACGCATCAGCAACCCTTCATCTGTTTCAGATGTTGAAGCTGTGACGAGTCGGGGCCACAGGAGTCGGAGTCGGAGGGGGACACAGGAACCAGGAGTCAGGGAGAGTCGGAGGGGTTGTGATAGTCGGAAAGAGTCAGGGGGGCACGAGTGTCTATGAGGCTTCAGTCATTGTGATCAAGCTCCTAGAGAGGAAACTGAAAAGCTTCTCAAAAAGGCTGCTGCTTTTTTAAAGGCAGAAAATATATGAACATGTGAACAAATCCCACAGAAAGAGGGTTTTAACCCTCCTGCTGCCCTTGGGTCAAAATGACCTACTCGCCTTATTTCTGAATCTCCATAGTTTTTAATCCAATGGTAAACGTGAACGTTTCCTGACCGAAAACCTGCCAGAAACTCAAGTTTCATTAAATCTGAGAAAGGAACGAGCAGCAGGAAGAAAATCAGAGGCTGAATGGTTCAGAACAGCACGCAGCTGACCTCGGATCAGCTCTGACCTCGGATCAGCTCTGACCTCTGATCAGCGCTGACCTCGGATCAGAGCTGACCTCGGATCAGCGCTGACATCGGATTAGATCTGACCTCGGATCAGCGCTGACCTCGGATCAGCGCTGACCTGGGATGCGCTGACCTCGGATCAGCCGTATTAGAATCACAATAACTGATTAATTCCAGGGGAGAACGGAGCGTACTTGTTCTGACTGGTCGGAAAGTGACTGAAGGATTTCATTACAACAGATGATTTTTTTATTTTTATTTTTTAATTGTGTTTTTTGACTTTGTTGTCTCTATACCTGGAGTGGAACCTCCAGAGGGGAGGCATCGTAATCGGATGTCAGAACCTCCTCGGGTGACTCCTTCTGATGAGGAGGTGCAGCGGCTCCTTCTTTCTAAGGCTGAGCCCGCCTACCCTGCAGAGGAAGATCATTTCAGCCTCTTGGATCCAGGATCAGTTTTCTCAGTATTAGCCTAAACCTCATGACCATATGTGAGGGTTGAAACATAGATGGACCAAAAAAATTTAGATTTTTTTTTTATAGCTCTGCTCCTTCACCACAGCAGATTGAGGCAACTTCCTCATTACTGCAGACGAGGCCCTGATCTGTTGGTTGCAGTTCCTCTTATCCTACTCGGCAACAAGACTCTCAGATCTCCTCCACTTAAGACAAAGACTCAAAAGCGTTTTTCTGGTTGACTTCAGTCATGTTACGTTGGAATGAAATTCTTCAGCTCCTGCAGTCAGTAGGATAATCTGCCCAGCAACAGAAGTCACATGATCCCATATAAACATTTTTTTTTAAACTTTCAGGAAGTTTGAACATGAAGAAAAAATGTGAATTCAGATTTGAGCTACAAACACGTTTCATCTAAATACTTTACAGCTACGTTAAACTGGCGTCAGTGTTGAATAAAATCCATCTTTAGTGCAATTAGTCAGCATGTTGCATCATCAGCTGATCGTATGGGTCCATGTTTCAGCCTCCAGGATCTGTTCTCCTATCAGGTCCCCTCCATTCACTAAAAGCTGCTCCTCTGTTCAAGTGAAGGAGGCGCATGATGTCCAACATGGAACCATGTCTGCAGCTCCACGTTAGGACCAATTCCCCAGATGTTCAGAAACCAGTGATGGTTTGAGGCATCCAGATGTTGGTCTGAGTTCATCTGAAGTTTGTGGGCTTGAAACTGATTGGTTAATGAAGTGTTCCTCTCAGTGAATCAACCAATCAGCTTGTTTTCAGAACGACGTGACGATGGGAGCGTGTTGGTTGAAGATGAACGTATTTCTGAAAGAGATTTCAGGACGTTAGGAGACACTTTGTTAACTTCAGAAACAATATAGAAATCTCTACACAGCTCTGGGGGGCTCGGGTTCAGCTCTGGAAACCTGCAGGGCGACACTGGGCACCTGAAGAGGAGCGGTGCCGCCTTCATCATGTTGTGGGAGGAGCCGACGTGAGGTTGATCTCAGTTTGACCTTTGAACCTGAAGGATTCCTCAGAGTCTGACGTGTTGAACTGAAGCAGGAAGACGTTGATGTTGTTGTTCTGGTCACATGATGCACTTCATCTTATTGCTGACCGTATGAACTCAACCGTCACTGCAGCAGGAAGCTTCACCCACACTTCTCTGGATCTGACCTCAGGTAGGAAGTTGGATCCACTGATGGGGGTGGTGTGACTGATGGAGCCTGTGACCGTCTCCTTGCAACCCGAGTCCAACAGCCAATCAGACTGGCGCTGCAGTAGCGCCTTTGTTTGACCTTAAACTCCGCCCTCTGACTTCACCGTCAGCAGTGGAGCTGTAAGGCTCTGCTCCACCTGTCAACAGGCCCCGCCCCTATGACGGGAGTCCAGGTGAGGAGGGGGCGCCGCTTCCAGAACAGAAAGGTTAAGAAAAGGCGCCTGAGCGCCGTTAGAAACTGAGCGATGGGCGATGAGTTCGGTGAGTTTTATAAAAAAGGACATCACTACAAAAAAATGCATCAGCGGGTTTAAAATCTGCAGCGCTTCCATATAAAGTGCTTCATTACATTGTTACGTTTTTACAGTTTCTTATTAAAATATTGTTTTCCCTGGAGTCAAACCATAGTAAACATGTTACACGTTGGTAAAAATAAACTTTTGGAATGTCTCTTTAAGAAGTCCCAGTGGCTGATTTTGGTCAAGCTGAACTCGTCCCCGGAGCCTGAAACAGGAAACAGGACGGTTAGCGGCGGCCCCAGGGGGCCGAGGCAGGAGCAAAGCATCATGGGTAATGAGAGGAGAGCAGGGTGGTTGGGATTTTAGAACAGAAAAGAAATGTTTCTTGTAATTCTTTTAGAAGACTGTTAAGGTTTATTTCACATGATCAGACATCCTACAGAGACAGAGACCTCACACGGAAACACAAAACAATCCCAGTAGTTTGTTGTTTTGTGTCTCTTTGTATTTTGGTTGTTTGACAAGTTTAAACACCACAGACTGCGGGGGGATGTCAGATCCTATCAGCTGGAGGGACGCTCGGCTGTGATTAGTCGACACTCACCCACTGGAAGCAGATATGGACTGAAATGTTGACTAACCAGAAAATAATTGACAGACTAGTTTGAAATAATTATTAGTTTAGAGAATGTTTGGTTACATTCAGCTGACGACACAATCACATCCGAGTTTCTCCAGGTGATCCAGTCTGGTACCACCTCCAGATCCATTTAACACAGACATGCAGTGAATTACAGCATCTCTCAGCACCACAAATAAAAGTCTTGGCAATGAGAAGTTCCTGAAGCTGATTTTCCACCAAAAGAACACAGGACTTTGAAGCTCCCCGAAAAGGTTGCCGAGGATCTTCTGCACACTCGGGATATTTCTGTTTCGGTTCTGAAATGTTTGGTATAAATCCTGACAGAACTGTTCTAATATCAGGCTGGTTTTATTACCCATCACAGACTTTAACTTAATACATATTCAACCAATCACAGATGTTCAGCACTGACCTCTACACTCCAAAGAACCAGAAAAAATAATCAAATTTAGTCAATCTTTTTTCAGTTGTTCTACGTATCAGGACATAATTAAACTGATCAGGTCTTTCTCAGGTTCTGAACTGATTCTAATCAGTAACGTAAAAAAAAAAAAAACTTAAAGCTGTGAGAGGAAAACTGGTTGTAGCTTTGTTGCTTCCAGAGGGTCTGTGGTTCTGGATCAGTCAGGAGCTGCTGATCAAACTGGTCCATTAGTGGGACCACCTCTGAGTTGGAGCATACAGGTGTAACACAACGCAAAGGTGGAAAGACATCTGCATTGACCTCGGAAAAGACGTGCTGCCCATCAATTGGGGAAGGGTCAAAGGTCATAACTATGTCAAACTATCTAGAGTCCATTATTCTACAGAGAGAAAGATTATTCACAAGTGGAAAACCTTTAGGACATCTGACAATCTTCACAGCAGATTCACCCTGAAGGTCAGACCAAGTAATTCTCTTAAAAATGAGCTCCATCTCAGACTCTACAGGCTTCAGTTGAGGTCAAAGGTCACAGTTCTCTCTAAAAACAATATGGCAGCTCAACTTAGGTCTGGAAAGTTTTATCTGAATGAACTACAAGACTTGTGGAACAAAACTAGACCAAAGGACATGTTTACCCAGAATGCACTACAGTAAACTCCAAATCCCAGCTGTCAGCATGGCGGTGGAGGGCTGATGGTTTGGGCTCCTTGCGGTCACTGAGTGGACCATGACCTCCTCTGTAAGTCAAAGGGTTCTGGAGTCAAATGTGAGTCCGACAGTTGAAGCTTGGACCAAACTGGGTCCAACAGGACTATGATCCCAAACACAGCAGCTTCTACAAAAGAACGGCCCAGTCAGAGTCCAGAACCTCAAGTTGACTGAAATGCTTCATAGAGCAGAGCAGAAACCACAAAGAGTGGGCCAAAGCTCCTCCACAACCATGAGACAAACTGATATAAAGGAAATCAATACTGAACGTTATTGATGCTAACAGAGGTTCTTTAAGCTGCTGGATCAGGGCTGGAACCCGTTTTACACCATCTGGTTCAGTTTTTGTTTACTAAATAACAACTCGGTGGAATCTGTTGAGCGTTTTTGTTCACTTGAAATTAGAGTTAAATCGTTTTAGAGCCTGATAAAGACCAGATCTGCTTATTGATGTTTTAAAACTAAAGAGCTATAAGATGATGGACTTTATTTTCACAGAACATAAAGTTCTAAAAGGTAAATTATTCCCTCAGGTTCTGGTTCTGGTGGTGGAAACACAGCTTTATTTTAGTTCACAGAGACATTAAAATAAAAAATATATATATAAAAAAAAACATTTTAATGTTTCTAGTTTTATTTCAAGTTGTAAACTCTCGTCAAAATGCTCAAACTGTGCTGATTGTTGATCCAAAACTTCAACTAGTACTGAATCGGAGCAAAGCAGCAGCTCGGTTCTGTCAACGTATCAAACCACTTCTGGTGCCAGAATGATTTATTTTTTTATTTATTTTTTTAACTGAAACTTTCATCAACATCTGGTTTAAAGTTAAGGCAGTGGTCTGACCCATATCGAACGGGAGCCGAGTATTGACTGAGACCAACCCGGTCCACCTGAAGGAGACGTACACCTCTAGAGCAGAACTCTGCGTGACTCCAACAGAACATTTCTTAGTCTGTGATCCGATCAGTCCTGCAGGGTTTTGTTGCATTCCAGAACCAGCTCATAATTTAAAAATTTGTAAACAAATTTTGTGACCAGATGCCGACTATCCTGCGTTTGTTTACCTACAAAAACAGCCCAAGTGACATTTTGAATTTGTTTGTTTGTCATTTCTGTGGAGGAAACTCGGATAAAATGCCAGAATGAAACTAAACTTACGAGTCCAGAAGATGTTTGGTGTTTGAGCTCTGTCTTTATGGCGCTCCACCGCCCACCTTCAACCCCAATATTTATTCTTGACGGCTGTCTTAAGGTTACTACATCGCGAGATGAAAGAAATCTGCTCTCGTCCCCATAGTTGTGCAACGTACAACATGCACGGGCATTTTATACTGAGAGAGAAACTGCAGGGGAGAAGTCCTAGTAAGCTCCTCCCACTGAACAGAAACAACACAGCGCCTGGTCGGCTGAGTGGAAGTTTACGTTCAGTTGATGATGGAGGAGTTGGAGCTATGCCTGTCACGATAAATTTTGCTGGGCGATTAATTGTCTCAGAAATTATTGCGATAAACGATAATATTGTAAACGCGATTTTGGACGGTTAAAACGGATTTAAAAGATAAAAGAGAAAGGGAGGGGTCAATGAAGAGCACCGGGGTTGAGCTTTTTGTCATCCAGTGTCTTCAGTAAAAAGAGAGGGACACAAAGAAACGATAATGCCAATAAATGAAAATGAGGTAGATAATTTTCGTTTATCATACATTTAATTGATCTATTGTTTATCGCGACTGGTCTAGTTGGAGCAGGAAGATCTGGTACATCTGTTGTTAATTGAGAAGTGCTTGGTTTTAAATTTGTCCCCAAAACACCTCCAATGTTCCCAACAGATGGTGAGGGAACGTGTCCCTACGCTGTCCGGCTGGTCGGCACAGACACAGAGAGCTGCCTGTGTCTTCGCCGTCTCCTTTAACTTTTATTTGTCTGTCTTTAGACGTTTTGCTGGAAGTTACAAAGATGGGTGTATTTTCTAACGGCCTCGGCTAGCTGCTCCTCGACGGAGCAGATGAAGCGTAATGAGAGCGGCGTAGTTCAGCCACCTCTGCATAAACCCACACAAAAAGCTCTGAGAAAAAGTTCTGCTCCAACCTTGTGCACAGAACGAGTTCTCGGTGCTCATGCTGGTTTAAAAAAAAACGACGTAATTTTCATCTTGCAACTTCGTCTCGCCATGTATGAATCAGTCTTTACTTCTTACACGTTTATTGGCAGATTCACTTTTAGATTTCCACCTGAACATCTTTTAGAATCTATGCTTGTCCGAATCGGCCGTAATAGTTTACCTACCGTATTTTTCGGACTATAAGGCGCACTTAAAATCCTTAAATTTTCTCAAAAATCAACAGTGAGCCTTATAATCAGGTGCGCCTTATGGATTTAATCTGGTTGTGCTTCTTGACCTGGAACCGATTTTATGTGGTTATTGTGAATGAGTTGGATAAAGTTTGACTTATCCGTTTTGTTTCATTTAATGCTCCTTATCCTAATCCGGTGCGTCTTATAGTCTAACACAGTACACAATCTACAGCCAGCCTGTTGTAGGTCAGTCATGTGACTCACTCCGTGCAGGTTGATGCAGTCGAGTGTTTTGTTTACAACCACATTTTAGAAACATCAATGAATTTAAAACACTACTGATGTAAACTCTTTACAAATGATATGATAGTTTAATATTTGATTTGCAATGAGTGCCTTTAAAGTGTTTTCAGGCAAGAATTTGAATTTTTAAGTCCTTTTTGAGCTGGAATTTATAAGAAAAAACGTTTCAAGTCTTCAGCAGTAAAACAAACACGTAACCTTCAGTGAACCATCATCATCGTCAGTCTCTAAAACCAAACTTATCATTACTTCACTGTTCTATCTGCTGAGTTTTAACAATCTGGACCAGAGCTACACAGCATTCAAAAGCATGGACCTGAACCAACTGTCAGCCAGAAACTGGTTCAGCTGGATAAATCTATCAGAACCTACTGGCATCAGGTCTCCTTCAGGTGTACGGGACCTGCAGGTTTTCCTTCACCAGTGTCTTTTTGGTGGTCCCACCTGGATCTGACCTGTTCTCTGCCGAGTCCTTCATGGTTTTAAAGCACCACGGTGACAAAATAAGGCAAAACACGGACTCCTCACACACACAGCTGCTCCTTGTAAAAAAATATTCTTCATATAAAAATATAAAAGTAAAAAAATAATGTAAAGTCAGTGAGTTTTTTTTTTTTTTTAAAGCAAGCAGCAGGACGATGAAGATGAAGGTGATGATGAAGGTGATGTTAGCATGCATCAGTCAGTCCAACTTGCAGGTTCATGTTAGCATCCATCAGTTAGCCTGATGTGTTAGCACGTGGCGGTGACGGCGGGTGATTTAGCAGTTGACTTGGCAAAGGGGGCGGGGCTTGGCATGTGCAGGAGGCTGACAACCAGGAAGAGGGTGGAGGTGGGCAGGTAGATGCAGAGGAAGAGGACGACATCCTCACTGAGGCAGAGGACAAAGTCGTTTGGTTTCATCAGCACCCAGTCCACCAGAACCCCCACCAGCAGGTAGTACACCTGAAACTCCTGGAGCTCCTCCCACTCCTCCCCCTCGCCCCAGTGTGGCCCTGCACCCACCCCCTCTAAGGAGGCTTTCCGCCTGGCCGCGCCCCCTCCAGCACTGCATTCACTCACCATGGGCTTCATTTCCGCCCCCTCCGACGCCGCCTCCTTTACTCGACTCCGCCCACGTCCACCTGTTCGCTCCAACCGCCGGCTGCTTTCTACAAACTCCTGCAGGGTGTGGCCAAACAAACAGGTCAGGTAATCAGGGGGCGGGGCAACAACCAATACAGACAAACTAAAGTCCCGTCACTTGTTCATGTGTTTGACCAAAATCAATGTAACCATACGGAAAGGGGCAGAGGTTTTATAAAAGTCAGTGTGAGAACAAAAGTGTTTTTTTTTTTTGATCACTTGGTTGATAAGAAAAATGCCGGACCCAGATTCGTGTCAAACACTGACTCATCTCTGTAACTGACTAGTACTAGACCCTGATCTGACCCTGTCTGGTGGAACTGCGGTCTCACCATCAGAGCTTTGTCCATGAAGAACTCCTTCCCCGGAGTGCCGTCGTTGTACTTGGTGTCGATGGCGAAGCACAGGAAGAGGACGTCCACCACGATTTCAAAGATGGACAGGAAGCAATGAGCCACCAGGAAGGAGAAGAGACACACGATGACGAGCGGCAGCAGCCACTCGGCGTAATCACGCTGGTAGTTCAGGAGCAGGACGCCAGCAAACGCCGTTGACGTCATAATTAGGATCTGAGGAGATGGGATTCAGACAAACAGAACCCTCTGTTAATATTTGTTTCTTGGTTTTTGACCAGAACCAGACTGGAACCATCAGACAAATGTCTCTCACCTTCCCCAGGAAGAGCACAAAGTCTCCGACAGCGTTGATTGTGGCGACGCGCAGAGCGTTCTCCACCAGGATGACGAAGGCGTCGCGTGCCGATGTGCAGAAACTGGTGCTGTTGATGGCTGTGGCTGCATATGCGTTCTGCGGTGGGGGGTCAGATACAGGTGAGTGGACATGTAAGCGGTAGGACAGAGGGTGTGACATGAAGACTGAGATAATGTTACCTGGTTCAGGTAGTTGAGGCACTTCTCCAAACACCACAGGCAGCAGATACAGGATTTGAGCAGGCAGCGAGCGCACACGTTCTCCTGAGAAGAACCAGCGGGTCACATGACGTCAGAAAAACTATGTTTGTGTCAGACAGATGAACAGAATCAGGACAGGGTGGACAAAGTTCTCATACCCGTCCTTTGAGCTGATTGTGGATGTACATGAGGACGAGTCTAGGAACTTTCACCAGAGTAATGATGAAGGACCCCTTGGCAACAGTACCCAGGTGGTACCGGACCAGCCTCAGAACTGAGGACAGGATTGGGGTCACCGGTAGCCGGTTCTTGTCCCTGAAACACAAAATGTCATTGCTTAGATCAGGTAGAGGCAGTCTGCTGAAAGAGAGTCCAGTTTCTGTTGCGGTGGCTCTGTCTGGGTCCAGCCTGGTTCATGTAGGCTGTTTGGGTCCAATTCAGCTCCACAGATCCAGTCAGAAGTTCCAGGCGTGTGTAGCTCTCGTGTCATCAGGTGTTCAGACTCACCTGGTGAAGTAGTAAGTGACCACGGCTCCGGCCACAGTCATCTGCTGACAGGCCAGGATGAACTCACTGATCCACACCAGACCCACAGCGTGGTACCAGGTCAGGTACTGCAGAGGACCCGTCAGTCTGAACTCTGTCAGCCCCGTCTCCTCGTTTTGCTCTGGGTTCCCTGCATCAAAACATCAGAACCAATCAGAACAAAGCTGCAGTTCCACCTGTCAACCAGAAGAGGGCAGTAAGCGTGCTCTTACCAATGAGACTGTAAAACCAAACAAGTTTTTTTCTTCTGCTGTTTTAAAGCTTTATATCTTTTAAATATATATATATTAAAAAAAGAAGGACTTACAAAAAAATCTGCAATAATGAAGATTTCACATATATATATATATATATATATAATATGTGTATATATATATATAT